GAATTTAGTGCATATTTTACACTTACAGCAACCTCAGTGCCACCGGGTTCAACAGCCACTTGGAGCTACCAGCCACACTACTGGGCACCACAACCCTAGACACTAAAGCTGGCTCTAGGATGGCACTGGCACCCAAGGCTGGCACTAAGATGCGGCAAAGGAGGCTCTGGAGCACCAAATTTAAAGAGGCAGTCCCTCTCAGGCCCCACAGAGAGCAGTGGCTCTGTAAATGCTGCCCCTGGACCTGAGGCTCTGTCAAGGGTGTTGCGAATGTTTTCTCTACACTACTTGCTTTTCATTTACCATCCATTTTACATTTCGATGCAGTCATATTATTTGTGTTTTCCTTTATGGTAATGCTCTTTGTCATGTGTTCAAGTAATCCATCCTATTCAGAAACCATAAAGATATTCCTCTGTATTTAATTCCAAAAGTTTCAAAGTGTATTTTTTTCACAGTGAGGTCTTAAGTCCACCATGGTTTTTATTATAGAAATTATATGAACACATCCATTCTTTCCCATTGGTAGTCACACCACGCTGGGGCACGTCCCACCTCCCCAGAGACACATGAACGCATCTGAGAGTTGCTTCCATTGGTCTAGCAATCTGCCTTGGCCCCAAGGCAGCCCTGATTCCTACTGAAACCCTGTGTTTTGCAGGGAAGAAACCTTCCTTGCTCTTCCCCTTCAGAACTGCTGTGGCTATTTTTTTTTTTTTTTGAGGTGGAGTCTTGCTCTGTCACCAGGCTGGAGTACAGTGGCACAAGCTCGGCTCACTGCAACCTCTGCCTCCTCGGTTTAAGTGATTCTCCTGCCTCAGCCTCCTGAGTATCTGGGACTGCAGGCAAGCACCACCACGCCCAGCTAATTTTTTTTTTTTTTTTGTATTTTTTTTTTTAGTAGTGACGGGGTTTCGCCATGTTGGTCAGGCTGGTCTCAAACTTCTGGCCTAAAATGATCCGCCCACCACACCCTCCCAAAGTCCTGGGATTATAGGCATGAGCCACGACACTCAGCCTGCCGTGGCTATTCTTAATTACCAAGCTTCGTTTTAAAAATCAAATTCAGTTCTCAATCCTCCTAGAAGGAGTGGTAAAGAAGATTGTGCAAAACACCAGACCACAGGTCATCAGAGGACGCCTAAGACGATATTCTCAGGCTGCCAAGAGCAGGCATTTGCTGCTCATCCGAGAGAGGGCTAAAGGAATTCGCTGCTGGGGGGCCCTCAGCAACAAGCAAGCAGCTATAAATAAGAAGAACTCACAGAGAGTCCGGCAGGAAAACAAGCAGCTGGAAGCTCATCGTCCAGCGTGTTTCACTGTCCAAAGTAGACCCTAGTATTCCCCCAAAATGTCCCTGACAACACTCTCCCTTCTCTTCCACTCATAAGTAGCACATCCAGGAGGAAGATTCATTCAACTATGGGCAACGGTCTGTGAAGAAGCTGGTAAAAGTCACACACACAAAGTGTTTTCTAGTTGTTTGAACCAGGACAGCTCAGTTGCACCGGATTCACCTGCAGTCTTCACTGGCGTTCTTCCACTACCTGTTTCCGCCTGCCTTTTGGTAAACTGCATTTCCCCACCCTTTCTGAATTCTGACTTGACCAAATGGCTTGCTTTGGGTAATGAAATGTAAGTGAAATAGCAGGTATCACTTCCAGGAGGAAGTTTTGAGAGACAGTGTACAATGTGCCACTTTTCTCTGCCCTGACTGCCCTTGGAGCTCAGAGACAGATGACTCTCAGCCTGGGCCTTTGAGGTGAGGGCAGAGAGAGCAGAGCCCTGCCCCTCCAGCTGGAGCACAAGCGCCTGTGTGAGCAAGAGGCAAACCTTTGTTACCTTAAACCACTGAGACTTCAGGTGGTTTGTTGTCAGAGAACAGAGTCTATTCTGGGTGACTGTGTGTGTGTGTGTGTATGTGTGTGTGTGTGTGTAACAGTAGTGTACATCTATTCATGTGTCAATGGCTGCCTACTGTTTTTTTTTTTTTCCATTGGGAAGAACTGTCCTTTATTTTAAGATGATGTCTTTGCTACTTAATTAGGCACAAAATGTACTCATAAAATGGCTGGGTGCGGTGGCTCACACCTGTAACCCCAGCATTTTGGGAGGCCAAGGTGGGCGAATCACTCGAGGTCAGGAGTTCAAGACCAGCCTGGCCAACATGATGAAATCCTGTCTCTATCAAAAATAAAAAAAATTTTTAAAGGGCCAGGTGTGGTGTCACACACCTGTAATCCCAGCTACTCAGGAGGCTAAAGGCCAGAGAATCGATTGAACCCAGGAGGCGGAGGTTGCAGTGAGCATAGATCATGCCCTGAACTCCAGCCTGGGCAACAGAGTGAGACCCTGTCTCAAAAATAAATAAATAAATAAATGATGGGGCCATGAGTTTATGGCTTTTTATTTCTTAGTTTGCAAAAGAAATATCTGGCAGTTATGTCATGCCACCTATTCCAAAACCATTTTATACCAGGTGAACCCAGCAGCCTGGACGCTGCTGAGCACCTATGCGCCGCACCTACTGGTTCTCAACTCCCTCGTGGCCATGCCAGCTCCCGGTGGCTTGGGTTCTCCCTTGTGCGTGCTGCATGTTTTCAGGCCTCCAATCCTTTGCAGGTGCAGTGGCCTTTGCCTGGGATGCCCTTCCTCCCTTCCCCAGCCCCATCACTGAGTCAGCCTGCACATTTCTGAGTCTCCTGCCAGTATGGCTCAAGCCTTCTGATGCCCATTTCCTCACACTATCACGGGACTGCCGTTCACACACCAGCTCACACTCAACAATAAGCTCCAAGGGGCAGCAGATTGTGTCTTTTTAATTTTGTTTCCCAAGTACCTGACGTCTACAAGGTACTCAATAAGCATTTCCTGAATGAAGGCACACGCCCTGCAGTAATACCCAGCTTACTCTAAACTGAGGACCGACACACAGTGATGTGGGCTTGTGTTTCCTCTACAGTCAAGAAGGGAAATGACTTCACGTCCCAAGGGACCTCAAAGAAGCAGCTGTCCTTCAGCATGGTGTCACTCTCGGTAGGCACCCCCAGATTTGCGGGTGAACAATGTACATCTGAAAGCAATAGCCAAACTCAAAAGAAAACGAAAGCGGCCAAAGAACTCCACTTGCAGGGGTTCACTGCAGAGACCAACGGTATGCCAAGAGCTGGGTGCGGTGGCTCACACCTGTAACCTCAGCACTTTGGGAGGCCAAGGCGGGGAAGATTGCTTTAGCCTAGGAGTTCAAAGGCAGCCTGGACAACATAGTAAGACTTATCTCTATAAAAAAATTTAAAAACTAGGCAGCTGCAATGGTGCACACGTGTACTCCCAGCAATTTGGGAGGCTAAAGCGGGAGGATCCCTTGAGCCCAGGAGTTGGGAGCTGCAGTGAGCTGTGATCATGCCACTGCATTCCAGCCTGGGCAACAGGCCCTGTCACCCTGTCTCAAAAAAAGGGAGGTCAAGAGATCTATATCCATATAAAGATCTATAACTACAAAGCCTAAAAACCACCCAAATATAAAATGTATATCAAGAGATGTCTGGCTAATGAAATGCATGTTATGGAGGCCAGGCGCAGGGACTCTCACCTGTAATCCCAACAATTTCGGAGGCTCACACAGGCAGATTATCTGAGGTTGGGAGTTGAGACCAGCCTGGTCAACATAACATGTTGGATTTATGACTTTAGATCAGTAATGTATGAAACTACTACTTTGTTCGACTGTATTCCCTCTGCCAAGTTCATGTATATACCTAATCTATTTCTATCTCAGAGGCCCGTCTAACCTTCGAAACACTGGGAGTGGTTTCCATGCAGTGATCTAACAAGCATTCTGTGACGAAAGAAAACTATGCCTGTTAACAGTTGACCTGAAGGCAGTGACTGTCAGTAACAATGACATGTTCTTCTGACCGTTGATTCATTTAATCTTTTTGAAATTAAGGTTCGATTTTTTTTTTTACAATGAATGTACAAAACTCAGCAGAGAACTTAAAGGAAGCAGCAAGGCTAGAAGAGCCTCACTCGGCCAGGCACGGTGGTTCATGCCTGTAATCCCAGCACTTTGGGAGGCCAAGGTGGGTGGATCACCTGAGGTCAGGAGTTTGGGACCAGCCTGGCCAACATGGTGAAACCCTGTCGCTACTAATAATACACAAATTAGCTAGGCATTGTGGTGGGTGCCTATAATGCCAGCTACGTGGGAGGCTGAGGCAGGAGAATCATTTGAACCCAGAAGGTGGAGGTTGCGGTGAGCCAAAATCTTGCCACTGCCCTCCAGCCTGGGCGACAAGAGCGAAACTCCATCTCAAAAAAGAAAAAAAGAAAGTCACTCAATGAGAAAGAGCTCATGCAGGGGATAAATTACAACAGCAAAAAGCACAGACCCTTTCCTTGTACCATGTATGTCTGCCATGAGTACACTTTTCTTATTCATTCCACACCCTGTACTTTTAATATTCACGAACACAATTGTGCTAGCCAGCCTCCTGGATGGCCCCAGTGATCTTTGCTGCCTCCCGGTATTCACACACTTGATGATCACCTCCCACGCTGAATCAGGGCTGGCCCCATATGGCAGGAGTAACGGTGTGTGCCTTCCAAGGCCAGATCCTAAGGGATCCTGCAGCTTTCACCCTGTCTCCTGGATTGCAGGCTCTTGAGGAAGCCGGCCACCATGCCCTGTGGACACTCGAGCAGCCCTGTGGAGAGACCCACAGAGAGAGGAACCGAGGCCCCCAGCCAAATACCAGCACCAATATGCCAGCCATGAGAAGGAGCCACTTTGAAAGGCGACCCTCTGGCCTCAGTCAAGCCTTCAGACAACTACAGGCACAGCCAGCATCCCACTGCAACTCACGAGAAACCCTCAGTCAGAACTGCCCAGCCAGGTTCCCACATTCCTGAGCCATTCCCATATTCCCGAGCCATTCCCACATTCCCGAGCCATTCCCACATTCCCGAGCCAGTCCCACATTCCTGAGCTATGGACACTGTGAGGGAAAATACGTGATTATTATTATTTTAAGCCACCATGTTTTGGGGTGATGATTTAGATAATACAAATATCAACAAGTCATAAGGATAGAATAATGACAAATTCCAGTTACAATCTTCCAAAGCCTGTCATATTAACACATAATTCTGTTTCTGTCTTGAGAACTGGATCATTCATTCAAGTTGAATATATGTTTACACAAGAAAATATATAATATAGCATATTACTATTTTATAGCCATTGAGATCTACTATATGTTATGTTAGGTGCAGCTAGATTAAGATATAATTAATGCCACAAATCAGCTAAGAAAATTCCTCTCTGGCTTCACTATATTCCCGGAAGACATCATGAGAGTGCTACATTTTTCTCAGAAATGTTCTCTTTTGGCCGGGCACAATGACTCACACCTGGAATCCCAGAACTTTGGAAGGCTGATGTGAGCAGATCGCTTGAGGTCAGGGGTTTGAAGCCAGCCTGGTCAACAGAGTGAAACCCCATCTCTACCAAAAAATACAAAAATTAGCCAGGTATGGTGGTGCATGCTGTAGTCCCAGCTACTTGGGAGGCCGAGGCAGGAGAATCACTTGAACCCAGGAAGTAGAGGTTGCAGTGAGCTGAGATTGTACCACTGCATTCCAGCCTGGGCAGCAGAGAAAGGCTGTGTCTGAAAAACAAAAATAAAAAAATAAAGCCAGTTGCAGTGGCTCATATCTGTAATCCCAGCACTTTGGGAGGCTGAGGTGGGTGGATCATGAGGTCAGAAGTTTGAGACCTGCCTGGCCAACATGGCGAAACCCCGTCTCTACTAAAAATACAAAATTAGCCAGGTGTGGTGGGGCGCACCTGCAGTCCCAGTGACTCTAAAGGCTGAGGCAGGAGGATCGCTTGAGTTTGGGAGGTCAAGGCTGCAGTGAGCTGTGATCACGCCACTGCACTCCAACCTGGGTGACAGACTGAAACACTGTCAAAAAAAAAAAAAAAATGACAAGCAATCAATGAAAAGCAAATTGGGCCTTTCAGGATCTATAGACTATGATCAGCTTTATAAGTTCCTTGCCAAACGTTGCATGAAATTTCAAAAAAGGAGTCTAAATTGTTCACTCATTTAAGACTCAAAGATTCGAAACCCTTTTTTCTGTCTAGCGGTTCCCGCTCTGGAGGCTCCCAGCCCGCTGCTCTGCGTCAGGCTCTCAGGCGACAGCATGGTCTACTCAGGAGAAATAAAACTCTCCAACCGTTTTCGAGGCAATGTTTTCCAAATATGGGGCCTGTCATGCACAAATACTACTCCTGCCTCACAAAAATCTGGCACAATTTAGTACAACCCAACCCGATGGATGCAGAATTAACAACCTGGCTAATGATTGAGCCGAACCACCTGTTTACCATTTTCTGCTGGGCGCAGGTTTGACTCTAGCCCCACATAGTACAGACCCAGGACCGACGGCATCAGTATCACCTGGGAACGTGTTAGAAATGCAGAATCTCAGGCCTCAGCCCGGGCTCCTGGCTGGGAGCCAGCAATTACTTTTGTCTGTAGGACGTAAAGTGTGAGCACGCTATGCTGACGCTCCAGGATGGGCAGTGATGGTGTGACCTCTACACGCAGACGCCCAGGCTGCTCAGTCACCATTTAGGAACACAGGACACAGAGCTCAGCTTGTGTTCTTGTTCATTTTTATTTGATTGGCTTTCTTTCAGAGGGGAAATGCACCCTCCTTCTTGCCCCACCCAGTCTCTGCTATACACAAATCCAAACAAATTCTTCCCTAGTTCTGGCCTCAGTGCCTACAGCACTTCCCCATGCGTCCCCTAACTGGTCTTGTTCTCATCTGCACCAGCTCTGGGTGCTCCACCCAAGAATCATCCCTGGCCCCATGGGGGGCACATGGCAGCTCCTTGCCATACATAGGCTGAGGTGGAGTGACCAAAAGGAGAAGGACAGATCTCTAGATACTGTGGCTTGTACTTTGTCTTACAGATTTAGGCATATATAGGTGTGGTCACACTTAAAATGTGTGACTAAACCAGCACATCCACGGAGAGCATGCCCCGCAGGGAGGAGGGCTGCACAGCCTTCAGCTGGCTGTCATCAGCACCCATGAGCACTTACTTATTCACCATCCAGCAGGCTTACTGGCCCCTGGCTGGGTGCTGAAAATACAAAGATCCGCTGAAATGTGAGTTCCTCCGCTCAGGACATTCAGTCTGGGGAAGGAGGTGGAGATGTAAACAATGACAATGCCAGGCTCGGCCCAGGGGACAGTGAGAGCACAGACGACTGGCAGCTGGCCCAGGCTGGGAGGAGTTGGCACCCAGCCAGGCTGAGCCTCATAGCCAAACAGCAGGAGGTCCACAGTGCCAGGGAGGGTGGGGACCGTGTCCCAAGCGGGGAGGCAAGCGTGTGCAAAGGCGTGGAGCTGACAAGTGGGGAATTCTGGGTCATGACGGGTTCCTACAGAGGGCTGAGCAGGCTGAACGGCATCCAAAGCTGGTGGGAACCATGCAGGGTCTTAGAAAGCATCATGATCAGATTTTCCTGCTAAATATCTGGCTCTCAGGTGGGAGCTGGTGTGGGAGGAGAGAGCCTTGCCATTTCCTTCTATTTTCAAAACATTCTTTAAATATATATATGCCCCCGACCCTGTTCTTTTTAAACTGAGTTGGCAGCCCATTTGTGATTGAAGATGTAACTGAAACTGACATCTGTCTGTCTGACTCATAGCTGTCAAGGCGGTGGCTTCCACATGACATTCTGGGCTTTGGGACGTCTATTTCGCAGGTGTTCATTCATGTCTTCTAACTTGATTTTTTTTTTATGTACAAAATTTAAATTGTAACCTTTTCCAAAAGTGAAAGAGCTCGACATCATTAGTCACAGAAAAATGCAAATTAAACGCACAATGAGATACCACCATACACCCACCAGAATGGCTAAAATTAAAAAGCCTGACAATACCAAATGTTGGCAAGGGTGTGGAACTCTCATGTTCCCAGCAGGTGGGAGTGTAAAATGGAAGAACCACATTGGGGAACTGGTGGTTTCTATTAAAGTTTAACACATGTCTACCTTATAACACAGCAATTCCATTCACAGACACACTCTCAAAATACGTTCAAGTCTATATGCACATTAAGACGTGTACAAGAATGTTCAGGACAGCTTTATCCGTAACATCCAAAAATTGCAAACAACCCAAATATTCATCAAGAGACTAGCTAAGCAAAGTCTGCTATAATCAACCCTGGGATACCACAGAGCAACAAAAGAAGGACAAAACTCTGATACTGGAAGCAATACTAGTGAATCTCACACATATGACACTGAACAAAATATCCCAAACACCAAGAAGTGCGTGCTGTTTGAGTCCATTTAATGAAATCCAAGGACAGGCAAGATTAATACTGTATATGGTAATAAAAAATAGTGAAGAGGGTTATAGAAAGTGGCACAAGAGAACTTTCTGGAGTAATGGAATGATATCTTAACCTGAGTGATATTTACATGTGCATATTCGTTTGTGAAAATTCATTGAACTATGCCCTTACGAGTTGTACATTTCACTGTATGCAGTCTCTCAATGAAGTAACAATAGCAGAAAAAGCAACTTTGCCAACGCAGATCTACAAATGGTAAATAAAGCTATGAAAAAATGCTCAACATCATTAGTCACTGAGTCACGAAAAATGCTCATCTAAACCAGAGTAAGAAACCACTTCACCCCTGTGGTGGTGATGAAAACACACTTCACCCCATTCAGATGGCTGCAATTTACAACACACCAATATACAGAAAATAACAAGTGTTTGGTAAGGATGTGAAGACACTGAAACCCTTGTAAATTGCTGGTCAGAGTCGAATGTGGTGCAGCCACTGTGGAAAATAGTTTGGTTGTTCCTCAGAAAGCTAAACGTAGAATTGCCATATGATCCAGTAATTCCACTCCCAGGTATATTCCCAAATGAGTTTAAAGCAGAGGCTGGAACAGAGATTTGTACACTCATGTTCATAACAACATTATTCACAATGGTGAAAATAGGGAACACCCAAATGTCCATCAACAGATAAAAGAATTAGCAAAATGTGGTATATACATATGATGGCACATTATTCAACCTTTAAAGAAAAAGGAAAATGCTGTACATTTTATAACATAGATGAACACTGAGAACATTATGCTAAGTGATATGACCCAGATACAAAAAGATTCTATTTATGCAAATATCTAGAATAGGCAAATTCATAAAGACAGAAGGTAGGTTAGAGGTTGCCAGGGGCTGAGGGAAAAAGGGAAGGAGGAGGAAGAGGAACTGCGGGGAGAGGGATGATAAAAACATTTTGGAAATAGTGGTAACGTTTGCACAACATTGCAAATGCCACTGAATTGTACACTGGTTACAATGGTTAAAATGAACAGTTTTATGTTATATATATTTCATCACAAGTTTTAAACTTAATAATGGAATGTGCCTCAAACTATCAAGTTGTATACTTTAATGAATGAATGGTCAATAAAGCTGTTGAATATGGAAAGAAACAAAAGCAACCTAGAGGTACGCACCACATGGCTAAATCCCAAAACCTTTATGTTGAGTGAAAGGATCCAGGCTCCAGAGCACACGCTGTGTGATTCCACTGAAGTTTCAATACCAGCTAAACTAATCCATGGTGACAGAAATCTGAACAGGTATTTGCCTCTCACAGGACAGGGACTGAGTAGAAAGGGGCAAGGGGAAATTTACTGTAGTGATGGAAATGCTCTATGTCTTGAGTAGGGGGATGACTGCACAGGTGCATATATTTGTCAAAATCAAACAGCCTGTCATTTAGAATTTGTGTACTTTATCACATGTCAACTATACCTCGAAAAAGTATTTTTTTCTTTTCCTTTTCTTTAAGACAGGATTTTAAAGTATATTTTTCTTTTCCTTTTCTTTAAGACAGTATTTCTCCAGGTTGGTCAGGCTGTTCTCACACTTCTGGACTCCGCAGCGATTCACCCACCTCAGGCTCTCAAAGTGTTGAGATTATGGGCATGAGCCACCACACCTGGCTAACCAAGTATCATTAACACGAAATATGATTGGTCAGGTGTAGTGGCTCATGCCTGTAATCCCAGAACTTTGAGAGGCTGAGGGGGGAGGATTGTTAGAGCCCAGGAGTTCCGAGACCAGTCTGTGCAACACAGTCGGACTCTGTCTCTGAACATTTAAAAATTTTTTTTAGTTGAAAAAAAAAAAACCTGGCCAGATGCATTGGCTCATGGCTATAATCCCAGCACTTTGGGAGGCTGAGCTGGGTTGATCACCTGAGGTCAGGTGTTCAAGACCAGACTGCTCAACATGTGAAACCCCATCTCTACTAAAAATACAAAAATTAGCCAGGTGTGGCAATGCATGCCTGTAATCCCAGCTACTTGGGAGGCTGAGGCAAAAGAATCGCTTGAACCTGAAGACAGGCAGAGGTTGCAGTGAGCCAAGATTGTGCCTCCTGACTCCAGCCTGGGCAACAGAGCAAGACTCCACCTCAAAAACAAAACAAAGCCTTGTAAAATATGGTTAAAATAACAAGGCACTGAGAGTGCCAGAAGGGGCAGGCTAGAAGCCAGAAAGTCCTCAGAAGCCTCCTAGGAGTCACCAGGTACAGATGACACCACTAACTGGGGTGGCTGCATCCAGGTGCCGAGAGTAGAAAGCAGACTTAGAAGAGATGGAAGCTGGAGAACAGACACCTGGATTGGGGCGGGGGATGGGAGGAAAAAGTAGTGGTGATTGGCTTCTGACTTGGGCCCCTCAAAAGGATATCAAAGTCATATGCCAAGAAAAGGGGCACAGCAAGAAGTCTAGTACTGGTACACAAGGCAAGACCCAGAATCCAAAACGAAAACAAGAATCACATATACATACAAGATACAATCAACTTGCATTAGAAGTTCATTTTTCTTTTTTTTTTTTTTTTTTTGAGACGGAGTTTCACTCTTGTTACCCAGGCGGGAGTGCAATGGCGCGATCTCGGCTCACCGCAACCTCCACCTCCTGGGTTCAGGTAATTCTCCTGCCTCAGCCTCCTGAGTAGCTGGGATTACAGGCACGAACCACCATGCCCAGCTAATTTTTTGTATTTTGAGTAGAGACGGGGTTTCACCATGTTGACCAGGATGGTCTCGATCTCTTGACCTCGTGATCCACCCGCCTCGGCCTCCCAAAGTGCTGGGATTACAGGCTTGAGCCACCATGCCTGGCCTAGAAGTTCATATTACAAAGCATAATTAGATTGTGTTGTTGTCTGAGAGACTGTTATGATTTCAGTTCTTTTGCATTTGCTGAGGAGTGTTTTACTCCTGATTATGTGATCAATTTTAGAGTAAGTGCCATGTGGTGATGAGAAAAATGTACATTCTGTAGTTTTGGGGTGGAGCATTCTGTAGGTATCTATCAGGTCTGCTTGATCCAGAGCTGGATTCAGGTCCTGAATATTCGTTAATTTTCTGTCTTGATGATCTAATATTGTCAGTGGGGTGTTACAGTCTCGCACTCCCATTGTGTGGGAGTCTAAGTCTCTTAGTAGGTCTCTAAGAACTTGCTTTATGAATCTGGGTGTTCTGTGTTGGATGCATATGTATTTAGGATAGTTAGGTCTTCTTATTGAATTGAATCCTTTACCATTATGTAATGTCCTTCTTCGTCTTTTTTGATCTTTGTTGGTTTAAAGCCTGTTTTGTCAGAAACTAGAATTGCAGCTCCAGCTTTTTTCTGTTTTTCAGTTGCTTGGTAAATTTTCCTCCATCCCTTTATTTTCAGCCTATGTGCATCTGTGCAAGTGAGGTGGGTCTCTTGAAGTAAGCGTACTGATGGTCTTGACTTCTGTGTCTTTTAACTGGGGCACTCAGCCCATTTACGTTTAAGGTTAATATTGCTATGTGTGAGTTTGATCCTGTCGTCAGGATGCTAGCTGGTTATCTGCAGACTCGTTTATGTTGCTGCTTCATAGTGTCACTTGTCTGTAGACTTCAGTGTGTTTCTGCAGTGGCTGCTGATGGTTTTTCCTTTCCATAAGAGCTACCTTCAGGAGCTCTTGCAATCCAGGCCTGATGTGACAAATTCCCTCCACATTTGCTTGTCTGAAAAGGATCTTATTTCTCCCTCACTCATGAATCCTTAGTTTGGGTGGATATGAAACTGACTTGGAATTTTTTCTCTTTAGGAATGTTGAATATTGTCCCCCAATCTCTTCTGGCTTGTGGTGTTTCTGCTTAGAGATCCACTTTTAGTCTAATGGGCTTCCCTTTGTAAATAACCTTGCCTTTCTCTCTGGCTGCCCTTAACGTTTTTTCTTTCATTTCAGCCTGGGAGAATCCGATAATGATGTGTCTCGGGGTTGACTGTCTCATGGGACATCTTACTGGTTCTCTCTGCATTTCCTGATTTTGAACACTGGCCTGTCTTGCTAGGCTGGGGAAGTTCTCACAGATGGTTTCCTTAAGAATGTTTTCCAGATTGGTTCCATGCTTCCCATGTCTTTCAGGTACCCCAATCAGTTATAGGTTCAATCTCTACATAATCCTATATACCATGGATACTATGAAGCCATAAAAAGGAACAAGATCATGTCCTTTGCAGGAACATGGATGGCGCTGGAAGTCATTATCCTCAGTAAACTAATGCAGGAACAAAAAAACAAACACTCCATGTTCTCACTTACAAGTGGGAACTGAATGATGACAACACATGGACACAGAGTGGGGGAAGAATGCACACAGGAGCATGTCAGGGGTCGGGGAGGGAGAGCATCAGGAAGAACGGCTCAGCAATGCTGGGCTTAATACCTAGGTGATGGGTTGATCTGTGCAGCAAACCACCATGGCATTGGCACACCGCCTATGGAACAAACCTGCACATGCTGCACGTGCCTCAGAACTTTAAAGTTGAGGAAATAAAATGAAAGCAAGCACGATTAATTTAAAGGGTGCTGGTACATAATGAAGTCATGCTGTTGTTTTGGTTTGGCTTAGTTTTTTCTGAACTGGAACAATCTGTTTGGTTTATGCCAAAGACTAAGATCCCCCAGGCACAGGCGAAACATGATCTTTTCAAACTTTTCCATGAGTCAGCGAAGGCAATTTCACTTGAGTCCTGGGACACGCAATTCCAGGAAGCGCTTCGCTTGCCCTGGTACACTCAGCCTTCTCCCTCTCCAGTTTCAAGGCATCACACGTGCTCCTTCACAGAGGAGGCGAAAAATGGATGATGGACAGAGATTTCCAGAGTCATGATCATCCAGATGACGGCCACTAGAAAAGACGGAGAAAATGTCCAGGGTTGGAGTGCAGGGATGAGCCCAGGAAGGTGGCATCACAAGCAACGACTGAACCTCTGAAGATTCATTTAGTCTCTTAAGGGGTGTCCAGGTCTCTCCTCTGCACATCGGGCCCCACTCGAGGATTCCAAGCCCCACTCCTTCAGTTACCCAGTAACTGCCTGTAGTAGGTTGAACTGAATCCCCTAGAAAAGATATGTCCACATCCCAACCCCGGTCCCTGTGAATGAGACTCTGTTGGGGAACAGCGTCTTTACAGATCATAATTAAGGATGTGAAGATGAGATCACCCTGGAGATGAGACACAGATGTGCAGAGAGGACAGATGAGGACAGAGGCAGGGATTGGAGCAATGCTGCCACACACCACAGAATCCCCAGCTCCAGCAGAGGGAGCGAGGCCCTGCTGTCACCTGGACTTCAGACATCTGGCCCCCAGAATTGCATGAGACTCCATTTCTGATGTTTAAGCCATCTACTTTGTGGTTGTCTGTCATGGCAGCCTTAGGAAAAAATTCCATTGCCTATCTAGCCCCACATCACCCATGTCTGGCAAGCCACTCCTCCACCCAGCCTCCTCCCTCCTCTCCTGCTCAGGATGTCACCCTCGGGGCTGGCCTCCACCAGGCACCTGCCTCTGGCCTGACTCCCCTCCACCCTCCATACCCACAGGGCACACTCTCTAGACAGGGACCCATGTTTGATGTTTTCTTTCTGCTTAAAAACATCCATTCCTGCAACTCTTGAGTGACTTGCCATAGGAAAAGTCCAGGACTGGCCCTGCTGGGTCCCACCGATCACCTGGGGAGTGAAATCCCATCTGCTCAGCCCAGCTTCTTCAACTCTATTTGTAGTTCGTCCATCCTCTACCAAGACCACCACCACTCCTGCTGCCCATACCTGGAATGCACTCTCCTATCCCCCCACATGCAGTCAAATCCTACTTTCCCCTAAGGCCCCCACACCAGGTTTCCCAATGCAAAACCCCACCCATGTGTCAGGCAGCTCTGGGTTTCTGGCATGTATCCTGTTACCTCATTCGCCAAGGAGTCATTCGTCTTAGGTTCCCATCTTACCCCACCTAATGGGTCAAATACCCTCTGAGGGCTTCAATTTTGAGGCCATGAACCTCTTGTGGCTCCCAGGGCCTTCCAGAACACGTGCCCTTGGTAGCATAGGGATGAGTGCACGCACGAAGGGAACAGTAGAAAGAAGGATGTGTGTTTTTAAAACGCATATTTTCTGCAGCATTGGAGATCAATCAATCAATAAATACATGATATCTTAGTGAGACATCCCCCCTGAATAAGTGAGAAAAACCTTTAAATACAGAATAGATCTGTGACAATGATGAGAATTCCTGCCCCTGGAGAGGAGAAAAATCCCCATGAGCCTACAGCTCCCACGCGTGGTTGCTGCTCACTGTTGAGTCTCTGGGCTTTGCTCCCTGCAGAGACTCCAGAGCAGGTTCTGCCTTGTTCCAGGACCACAATTTGGCTCAGAGCCAGCACAGGCCTTGGGTCTGAAAAAACTGTAGCTCAACAGGCCACGAGTAATGTTGTAGCAGAAGAGATGAACTCTCCTTACATGGGAGAGGTTCATGGGAGGTGAGGGTGAGTGACTTGGGAGGGGCTGTGTTGGGAGGGGTGGGGGTTTGTGCTGGAATGGGGGTCCAGGTGAGCCAGAGTCAGGGGAGTTGAGCCAGGGTGAGGGGCTTCGGGAGTAAGTGGGGCATTGAGTCAGGGTCTCATGTGAGCCCCCGTACCCGGGAGGTGGTGACTTGGAGCGGGGCTGGAGAGGGACTCAGGACTCTGGAGGTGAGCTAGGGTTGAGGAAGTTGCGCTGGAGTCGTGAGGAGCAGAAGGCTGAGCCAGGGTGGGTCTGGGATGAGCAGTGTCGGGTGTGGACTGAGATAGGGAGGAGGTACACAGGTGCAAGGGACGTTAAGGCACTAAACGGTCAACGTCATACAACAAATGTGCAGATGAGCCCTGCGAGGAGCTCTCCACGCACACTCGGTGTCTAAAGGGAAAGAAAGTATCCGCTCATTCATTGCAGATGGGCTAGTACCTTCACTGATGCTACAGGTTTTTGCTTTATCTTGTTTTTTCTTAAAAGAGTTAATAGTTAATGCTTTAAAAACAAAAGTAAACACAGAATAAAATACGTTATCTGCTCTAATAATTTAAACTATGTTATTGCACAGAAAGAAAAGGTAGTCCTAGCGTGCCAGGTGACTGTTCAAATAATAGCAGTTGTTGTGATACGACAATGTAAGTGTCACTTGGTTTCTGCTTTTAGAATCAAACTATAGATAAAGTTGAAATAACTAAGATCGTAATTAAGATCCCAGAAAATGTTAGCCTCGTAACTGGAAGGCTAGTGAAGACAGTATGAGGGGTGGATATGGGGCAGTGGGAAAAGGTGAGGAAGCTCCTCATCTAACAGAGAAGTCAGGAAATACCAGCTGGAATTGATAGAAAAGGAACTGGGGTTGAAATAAAATATATAAGACCCGGGCACAGTGGCTCACACCTATAATCCCAGCACTTTGGGAGGCCAAAGCGGGCAGATCACCTGAGGTCGCGAGTTTGAGACCAGCCTGACCAACATGGCGAAACTCCGTCTCTATTAAAAATACAAAATTAGCTGGGCATGGTGGCACATGCCTGTAATCCCAGCTACTCAGGAGGGTGAGGCAGGAGAATTGCTCGAAACAGGGAGGCAGAGGTTGTGGTGAGCCAAGATCACACCACTGCACTCCAGCCTGGGCAAAGAGTGAAACTCCATCTCAAAAAATAAAAAAAAAAAAAAATACACACACACACACACACACACGAAACTAGAAGAATACATATAAAGAATTATGGGTGGATGGGTCTGATAAGAGGGGTGAAAAGGGTGGGTCAGCAAAAATCTCTACCTGCCATGGGACAGGATCATCCCCACTGCCTCAAATGGACAAATCAAGACTAGCCAGACGATCAGGTGGCAGTTAGCAGGGAGGGGACTGCCAGACAAAACGAGAGCAGGAACGGTGGCAAGTGACGGCAGTGAGAAGCAGACGGGTGGCCAGGAGGCCTGGGGTCTCTCACTTCAAGCTCATCTGCAGGATTCTATCTTCTTTTCTTTTCTTTTTTTTGTCACCCAGTCTGGAGTGCAGTGGTGCAATCTTGGCTCATTGCAATGTCCACCTCCCAGGTTCAAGCCATTCTCATGCTCCGCCTCCCAAGTAGCTGGGATTACAGGCGCCCGCCACCACGCCCAGCTTATTATTTTATTTTATTTTATTTTTTGTATTTTTCGTAGAGATGGGGTTTCGCCACGTTGGCGAGGCTGGTCTTGAACTCCTGACCTCATGAGATCCGCCTGCCTTGGCCTCCCAAAGTGCTGGGATTACAGGCATTAGCCACCTTGCCCGGCCAGGATTCTATTTTCTATCACATACATGCTCTGTTTAACAAAAATGAGAGACAAGAAAAGTGGAATACTAACAAGAATAAAGTTTTACCACAAATTAGTGAGAAAAAAAATAAAGCAGATGGCCCAAAATAAGACCCTGTCTTTAAGGAGAACATGTTACAGAAGCAATCTGGGCACTGACGGGTGACTCACCAACACTGGAGGAAAAGTTGATGACTGAGCAGTAAGCACACACACCATAAATCAAGAGATAATACGAAAGGACTAAAATGTTAAGGGCAAACCTAAATCTGTACATACATACTTACATACATCCATACTTACATACATACTTACATACAAACTTATATACATACATATATACTTACATGCATACATATATACTTACATACATACATACATACATACTTACATGCATACATACATACATACTTACATACATATATACTTACTTACATACATACATACATACATACATACACTTACTTCCTAAAATAGTTTACTGGTCGAGATAAGAGATTCAAAAGCTAAAAATCATGAATAAGATAACAATAAATATGTAAATGTACTTTACTACATAAATACAATATTCCCTTATATTGAAATCATAAGTAAAATTGAAAGAAAAAGGAAAAAGAGCAATTAAGATGAATGACATTCGCAGGATGATTTAAATATCAACAGAAATATTGTATTAAATATCAGCAGAAATGCACCAACAGTACAATTTTCAAGGGTAAAAAATGAGTATAAAAACCAAAACATACAGGCTTATGCCTGTAATCCCAGCACTCCGGGAGGCTGAGGCTGGCAGATCATGAGGTCAGGAGTTCAAGACTAACCTGGCCAATATGGTGAAACCCCCATCTCTACTAAAAATACAGAAAAAAAGAACAGAGTATGGTGGTGGGCACATGTAATCCCAGCTATTCAGGAGGCTGAGGCAGGAGAATCACTTGAACCTGGGAGGCAGAGGTTGCAGTGAGCCGAGATTGCGCCACTGCACTCCAGCCTGGGCAACAGAGCAAGACTCCGTCTCAAAAAAAAAAAAAAAACACTAAAAAAATTTTACATGGCTATTTCTAGAAACTTGGCTTAGAAACAGCATTTTAAAGCAATATAGCAAGGCCAGAAACCATAAAGAAATAGATACATCTAGGCCGGGCGCGGTGGCTCAAGCCTGTAATCCCAGCACTTTGGGAGGCCAAGGCAGTGGATCACGAGGTCAAGAGATCGAGACCATCCTGGTGAAAGCCCATCTCCACTAAAAATACGAAAAATTAGCTGGGCATGGTGGCACACACCTGTAATCCCAGCTACTCAGGAGGCTGAGGCAGGAGAATTCCCTGAACCCGGGAGGCAGAGGTTGCGGTGAGCCGAGATCGCGCCATTGCACTCCAGCCTGGGTAACAAGAGTGAAACTCCATCTCAAAAAAAAAAAAGAAATAGATACATGTGACTACACAAAAATTTAAAACTTCTCTTCAAAACAACAGTGTAATCCAAGTAAAAAGGCAAACGACAGGGACCCTCACTTCAGCTCTGAGAAACTGGCTTCAGTCAGAGGTACCATCCCCCCGAGAACAACTGAATACTTTTTTCCCCTAGATATCCGTTTGGAGGCATCCAGTTTCCAAGACAACCGGGACTTGCCAACCTGACTGTATCCTGGGAAGAAGGCGGAAGTCCTGAGATGAGCTTTCCCTAAGGGCATGTCCCCAGTCCGAAGACTGGGTGTTGAGGAACCAAGCACTGAGCACTAGTGAAAAGTAAGAAGAATTAAGCAGAGTCTGTTAGGCTCTCAAAGGGTTTGCAGGGACGGGTATCCAACCTTTTGGCTTCCCTGGGCCACAGTGGAAGAACTGTCTTGGGCTACACATACAATATACTAATATTAACAATGGCTGAGGAGCTAAAACACACACACACACACACCTCACAATATTTTAAGAAAGTTTATGAATTTGTGTTGGGCTGCATTCAAAGCCATCTTGGGCCTCCTGCAGCCCGAGGGCCACAGGAATGAGCCTGGCTTAAGGACACAAAAGTGACATTCATAGTCTGCCCAGGGCATGTTTCTATAAGAAGCCGAAAGGGCTATCCCCTACAAGACAGGCCAGAAAGACACCAGATCTTATAAAAACTACAGCCTAGACTGTAATCTTCTGTCCCACTCTGTCTGCCAGAAGCAAATGAAATACTCCCTGGACAAGATAACACAATCTAGTGGTACTTCAATTTTCATACACAAGGTCTAGCTTTCCAAAACTGACCAGATGTATCAGGAGACAGGGCCAAGAGAAAAACAGGCAACAGAAAACATCCCCAGAGGAGCCAGACATTACAATTATCAGACTTTAAAATAACTAATATGTGAAAGTAAATAATAACAAACGAAGAAATTTATCAGAGAACTAGAATCAAACAAAAATTTTAGAAATACAACATAATTGAAATTAAGAATGTAAAAAGCAATTAAACAGTAGATTAGGATAAAGATACAATTAGTGAATCAAAAGATAAGTTTAATCTGGCTGGGTGCAGTGGCTCACACCTGTAATCCCAGCACTTTGGGAGGCTGAGGCGGGTGGATCACGACGTCAAGAGATCGATACCATCCTGGTCAACATGGTGAAATCTCATCTCTACTAAAAAAATACAAAAAATTAGCTGGGCATGGTGGTGCATGCCTGTAATCCCAGCTACTCAGGAGGCTGAGGCAGGAGAATTGCCTGAACCCAGGAGGCGGAGGTTGCGGTGAGCCGAGATCGTGCCATTGCACTCCAGCCTGGGTAACAAGAGCGAAACTCTGTCTCAAAAAAAAAAAGATAAGTTTAATCAAAAGTGCCCAGAAAAATTTCTTTTAATATTTAAAAGACAGGAAGAAAAGCATAAAATATGCAGGCAGCATGGTGTAAAAGGTCTGGTGTGTGTGAATTTGGTGTCATAGAATAGGACGAAAAAGGAACTGGAACAAAACAGTATTTGACAAGATAATGGCAAAGAATTTTCAAAACTGACAACAGATATCGAGCCACATATTCAGGAAATTCTATAAACCTTGAACAGGATTTTTTTTAAATGACAGATTGGTAAAAGAAGGCAGAGGCCAGGCGCAGTGGATCATGCCTGTTAATCCCGATTTTGGGAGGCCGAGGTGGGAGACTCACCTGAGGTCAGGAGTTTGAGACCAGGCTGACCAACATGGTGAAACCCTGTCTCTACTGAAAATACAAAAATTAGCCAGTTGTGGTGGCGTGCGCCTGTAATCTCAGCTACCTGGGAGGCTGAGGCAGGAGAATCGCTTGAACCTGGGAGGTGGAGGTTGCAGTGAGCCAAGATCTCGCCATTGCACTCTAGCCTGGGCAACAAGAGTGAAACTCTGTCTCGGAAGAAAGGAAAAGAAAAGAGAAAAAGAGAGAGAGAGAGAAAGGAAAAGAAAGAAAAGAAGAAGGAACGAAAGGGCCGAATATAGTAACTTTAGCATATGTAAAAAAAAAATCCTCAGACCTCAAGAAGACAAGACAGATTAATCAAAAACTTGACAAAGGAATTGGCAAAGCAGTTCAAAGAAAGAAATACAAAGGGCTAGTAAACATGTGATACGAAACATGTCTCAGCCTTGCTAATCAACAAAAATACACAAATAAAGGTGAAGTATCATTTCTTGACAAGTTGGAAAAGAGTAAAGAGAGTCAAATTAATTGGTGTTGGCAAGAGCATGGAGGGAAATGTACTCCCCTACCTCGCTAGGAAGCTGAAGTGTTACCATCTGTTAAGTGAGGTGGTGAGGCTTGATGTAGTCAGGTGCAGCACAGTGCGGGACACTTAGACTAGAAAATGAAACAGTGAAGTCTACTACTCACAGGTCTGGAAAGAAGAGGCCAGCACCCTTGGCAGGCCCAAAGAGAAGAGGGGAGGACCCATCCAGGACCTGCTCCCTCCATCAGCAGGTGGGGAACAAGAGAGAAACGGACGGGCCTGTGGGTGGGACCTTCTAGGTTACCTAGTTGGGTTTCCCACAGTGCAGTTGGATTAGCTAATTTGAAGGGAGCATGAGACTCACCACAGGAACTTGGGGGTTACCCTATCGGGTTCCCCAGGCTTAAAGCAGAAGTCATGTGGTCAAGCAGCTCAGGGTACGGGGCCTTATCTTCCTAGAACATGAAAACAGGAACTGGGGTGAAGACTGCCTCAGAATATGCTAGTCAAGGGTGACAAGCCAGGGACAGGACAAGAGATGGACATCGATATTCAAATGCCCGAGTGGTGACCATAAGCAGGTTCACTCTCTAGGGGGCCACTGGCAAATGTGCATTTGGTGGGTCAGGGTAAGTTAGGCTGTGCAGCAGAACAAGCAATCCCCACATCCCAGTGGCACGTGACGAACGTCTGCTTCCTGCACATGCCACATGGTTGGCATGCAGGTCTTTCCCACATTGTTTGCCCTTCCAGGACTCAGGCTGATGGGGGAGACTCTACCTGGAAAATTGCGGGTTGCCTGGAAGAGGGGGAAAAGGGTAAGGCAAATCATATGCTGGATTTCCAAACTTCTGGCCAAAAGTTACACAAGTCACTTCTCACTGACTTGGCCAGAGCACGAGACATGGTCAAGTATGATGTTATAGGGAGGGAAGTCTAATCCTACCCCAGGGAAAGGCAGATTGACTTTCAAAAATAAGAGAACCTACTACACAGATCCAAACAAAATCTAACAATTTCCTAAGAGTCAGTAGGTTGTTGTACGAAGATGTGCAAATCTCTGTGTAAATTGCAAACTAGAAATAACCTCAATGTCCACTAGGAAGTCATAGGTTAAAGAAATGAACATATCCGCTGGGCGCAGTGGCTCACGCCTGTAAGCCCAGCACTTTGGGAAGCGGAGGCAGGCAGATCACTTGAGGTCAGGAGTTCAAGACCAAGCTGGCCAACATGCTGAAACTCCATCCCTACTAAAAGCACAAAAATTAGCCAGACATGGTGGCAGGCATCTGTACTCAGCTACTTGCGAGGCTGAGGAGTAAGAATTCCTTGAACCCAGGAGGCAGAGGTTGCAGTGAGCCAAGATCACACCACTGCACCCGAGCTTGGGTGACAGAGCAAGATTCCATCTCAAATAAATAAATAAATAAAATGAAATCACTAAAATCTCCCACAATGAAAACTTCACATGCCACCAACTTCATTGCTTTTTTAAATTCAGTAGGCAAAAGATTCTCCCAGCTTCTTAGCTAAGCAAAGACTGCTGCTGAGTTAAAAGGCAGGAAACACACGAACGATGCCCCGGTATATGTGAATGTATTGGGAAAGGCCCATATTTGCAGTGCCGTTAAGTTAAAAGCCAGGAAACAAATGAGCAACATCCTGGGATATGTAAATGTATTGGAAAAGGCCGTGTTTGCACTGGAAAGATCCTTCTGCCATTATATTGACTACAAGATACCAATAGCAATTTCCTAAATTATGCATTAAGAGGCCACACAGCAAAACCTGTTCAGCACTAAAAGACTGCAGATGAGAACTGTTGGTTGGTCTAAATGTCTCTTATAAACTGTATGGAAAATAAAGAGAAGAAAGCAGTACACACACACACACACACACACGCAGAGTTACAAGAACCCCAATGCATGTCGTATTCTTATAGTCCATCAGGTCTACACAAGGATTTCCAATCAAGTGAAGAGCCACGGGCTGTGGCACTAACACCAGCGCTTTCTTTCTTCTTCGTACAGGGCTGCGTTACAGTTGACCCTTAAACAACCCTGGAACTGTCAGAGTCCACTTGTAGATTTTTTTCAACCAAATCTTGGGAAGTGAAATCCACCTATGGAGGACCGATGCTTTGTCTGCAGGGACTCCACAAAGCGGATGTGCAACTTGAGTATATGCAGATTTGGGTATAGACTATAGACGGGGGAGTTCGGGAACAAATTCCTCACGTGTCCTAAACAATGACTCTATTTCTCAGTGTTACATAACAGAAGAAAGAAATGCTATGCAATTGGCATCAAGCAGCGAGACAACAGAGAAACTCTCAAGACCCACAAGAACCTAAAATTCAGGGTCTTCACCAGAGCCTGCGTTGCCCTTGCTGGGTCTTTGAGGATAGAGCCCGGTGGCTTGTTCTTATCTTGGCCTCCAGTCTGTGGAAAGCACAGCATGGAGAAGCCATCACCAAAACTCTGGGATGGGCGAAGGACTGATGGATGCATCTGTTTCAGGTGAGGACAGAGGAGGTGCCCTGCAGTGAGTCCTGTCTGTTGGACCCTAGGCCCACAGCTCTGCTTTACACAGGCCTGTTGGCACAGCACCCTCACCCAGCATAGCAACCCATTGAACACCTGAGCCCAGGGTCTCATCTCTCATACAGGTGCCCGACAAGGCAACAACCCAGATGTCGCCAGCACACCTATTAGCCAGCCACACAGGCCTTGGGGCAGCCTCGTCTCAGGGGCCCATAGAAGAAGTCACAAACACCCAAGAAGTGCTTTCCAATCCAGGCGTTTCTCAGTGCGTTTCTTTTCACCTGAACAAGCAAAGCCACACGCTCAACAGACCCCATATAATCACAAGCTTAAACTCCTTCGACCAATGGAAATGACCACCAAGACTCAAAGTCAGACTTAAAACCCCTAAGCTAAGGAAGGACCACAGATCAGCATCCCAAATATGGAGTTGTCCATCAAGGACAATGTTTAGGAGACCTCAGGTTCCAGCTCTGCATGAATCCAGGAAAACACTTGTTGATTCAGTTAAACAAACTTTGAGAAAGGCATTGATCTAATTAAGCACAATGTAAGAGGCAAGCTCAGCACAACCAGTGCCTAAGAAGACTGCCCTGGAAGACTTCGTCCACTCGAAAGAGGACCAAACTTCAAAAGGACGCTAGCAAAGCTCTCACTTACGCCTGGAGTTGGGTTTTCTTCCTCCCCCTCCAGCTCTCTTTACCGGAGTCTGCCCTTCTCTTTGTGAGTTAAGCATCAGTTGATTCTGACCTCATCTCCTGCCCTCTCCCCACGTTGCTCTGCTTTAGCCCCTCTGGCCTCCTGGCTCTTCTAGAACATTCCAGGCTCTACCACCTGCTCCACCAGCCTGGAAGGCTCTTTCCTAGACCTCCAAATGGCAAGACTTTCACTTCCTTCCAGGTCTTTCCTCGAAGGTTCCTTCCCTGGCAAGGAGAGACGTTTTCAGCATCAGCCCAGTGCTGCAAAGCCCTTTCCCTGCCTGCCTTATCGCATCTTCTGAGCGCTTGCTCCCTCCCCTGAGTAGGGGGTGCATGTATTTGAGCTTGTCATTGTTTCTCTCCCCCAAAGTCACGAAAGCTCTATTTCAGCAGCAATCTCCATTTCTGTCCCCTAGAACAGCGCCTAGCACAGGTACGCATGTCCAGTGAATATTTGCTAAATAAACACATACATTAAACTGAAAAAGAGGCAACTCCATACTGAATCGAGGTATATTTAATCCAAATTGTTTTGTGACGTTTCTTTTTACTTTATTTTTATTTTTTTATTTTTCTGAGACAGGGTCTTGCTCTGTCTCCCAGGCTGGGTGCAGTGGCATGATCATGGCTCACGGCAGCTTCAACTCTCCAGCTCAAATGATCCTCCTGACACAGCCTCCAAAGTCGCTGGAACTATAGGCATCCACCACCACATCTGGCTAATTTTTGCATGTTTTGTAGAGACAAGGGTCTCACCATATTGCCCAGACTGGTCTCTAACTTCCAAGCTCAAGTGATCAGCCTGCCTCAGACTCCCAAAGTGCTTGAGCCACCACCCCCAGCTGAGAGTTCTTTTTAAAGGGAGAATTCCAACATAGAAAGTGCCTACTTGAAGTGTTATTAGTTCATAAAAATCACTTTGAAAATCAAAGCCAAGTGCATGGTTTCTTGGTAAAACATGTGTCACGTGGTTCTGTTAGGCATAAAACAGTTGTCTCTGCCCCTCATTAACTTCCTGTCAATTACATTTTCACCAGGCAGGTGGCAGTGGCCTCACTTGTCCTTTAGACTGCTCACACTGGGCACTGGATAAACGTGATGGGATGTCCTCGAAAGACCGACCGTGAACTTCGGAGGGATGTTTTGTGCCTCCTGGGGCTAATCTCCTCGGATTACACTTTTAAAATCTCCCTTGTCCTATTACAACTCCAAGAGGAAAATCCAGTCAAATGCTAAGATTCAAACAACAACAGAGCCGGGAACTCTAATTATGGTATTTTCCATTTTACAGAATAGGAGTGCATGGTGGAGGAGCTGGTAAATACAATTTTCCTAACAAAGTAGGTAAATTCTTTTTTCTTTTTTTTTGAGATGGAGTCTCACTCCGTTGCCCAGGCTGCAGTGCAGTGGCACAATCTCAGCTCACTGCAACCTCCACATCCTAGGTTCAAATAGTTCTCCTGCCTCAGCCTTCCAAGTAGCTGGAATTACAGGTTTGTGCTACCACGCCCAGCTAATTGTTTTGTATTTTTAGTAGAGAGTGAATTTCACCATATTGGCCAGGTGGGTTTCGAACCCCTGACCTCAAGTGATCCGCCCACCTTGGCCTCCCAAAGTTCTGGGATTACAGGCATGAGCCACCACATCTGGCCCCAAAGCACATAAATTCTTTAACTGTGAAAAACACCTGAAAAAACTCTTGGTGAGAAAGAGCCAGGAGAGAGCAGCGAAGAGTGCCAAATACTGCAGATTCTTCCAGGCAAGAAGGCACCCAGGTTTATAACTCCAGCAATCTTACTCCTTTCCATCTCTATTCCAGTGATTTCAACCAGGGGTGACTGTGCCCCCCAGGGGAAACTTTGGCCATCACAGAGGGGAAGGCACTGGTGCTGGCATCCAGCAGGCAGGGGCCAGGGATGCTACTAAGCACCTTGCCATGCACAGCAAAGGGTTACTGGAACCGAAACCCGTCCACAGTGCTGAGATCTGCCCTATTTTTAAGAATTTCCAAAATAACGTAGATAACTGTCAACAGGGCATGGTACCCGAATCATATTCAAAAAGCAGGGACAGGCCGGATGTGGTGGCTTGAACCTGTAATCCCAGCACTTTGGGAGCCCGAAGCGGACAGATCACCTGAGGTCAGAAGTTCAAGACCAGCCTGGCCAACATGGGGAAACACCGTCTCTACTAAAAATACCAAAAAATTAGCCGGGCGTGGTAGCGCACACCTGTAGTTGCAGCTACTCAGGTGGCTGAGGCAGGAGAATCGCTTGAACCCTGGAGGTGGAGGTTGCAGTGAGCTGAGATTGCGCCACTGCACGCTAGCCTAAACAACAAGAGCAAAACTCTGTCTCAGAAAAAAAGAAAGAAAGAAAAGAAAAAAGCCACACACATGAAGATAAATCTAGAAGCGGCAGCAGAATAGTCTGGTGAGAGTCTTGGTGGGGGGTGAGGTACAGCACTTGTTTAAGTGAGACCCCAGTGAAGTGTGGGAGACCATCGTGGTGGACTTCCCCCTGCTTGGAAAGTGACTGGATACAGAAGATGAGGAAGGCCAGGCTGACCGTAGGATTGTAAACATGGGCAGCCAGAAACGCAGGGGCAGCCAGGACGGGCTCTGTACTTTGGATCCCCAGTGCAATATGAAAATGCAGGCTCGGTTTCAAAACCATTAAGAATTTCAAAACAGTAACAGCACAGCGTTTCACCAGACATGGGCCCCTTTTAAGCATAGGCCTGTGGACTGCACAGGCTGGATGCCCAGGAAGCTGGCCCTGGAGGCAGCAGGAACACGTTAAGAAGGAGAAGCTGGGAGAAGCCTGGCAGGAGGAAGTCTGCACGTGAGCCTGAATGCACACGTGACTCTCAGGAAAGTGGTGCAGGGCTGAGAGCTGGCACCAGCTGCACGAGCCTGGGGAGGCTCTGCCAGCAGACAGTGTTCCTAGTGGAATGCATTAGTCAAGGCTCTCCAGAGAGACAGAACCAAGAGGAGACTCAGATATAAAGAGATTTATTTTAAGGAACTGGCTCACGGATTGTGCGGGCTGGCAAGTCCAAAGTGACAGGGCAGCAGGGAGCCTGGAAACTCAGGCCGGAGCTGAGGCTACGGCTTTGAGGCAGAATGTCTTCTCCTCCGGAAACCTCTGTTTTTCTTCAGTTGATTGGATGAGGTCCACCCAAATTATAGAGGGTAATCTCCTTGACTTAAAGTCAACTAATTTTAGATGTTAGCCATAGCCACAAAATACCTGCACAGAAACGCCTGGACCAGTGCTGGATGGAATACCTGGGTGCTGCGGCCTAGCCCAGCTGACTCGTGAAACTAACCGTGACAGGGAGTAAAGAGGCCAGCCCATGAGAAGGGCCTCACGGAGCAAAGGAAGGGACACCAGACCGTCTCCCCTAACTGCAGGGGAGACCAACAAATGAGCAGTGTAAAGAAGCAGAAAGAGGCTCCCGGGTCCAGGGTGCAGGCTGTCATGGGAGGATCCCAGGCGCAGAGCAGTTCCTGGGAGCCACAGTGTTGGAGACCCCAGAGGCCAGGCTACCATGCGCCTCAAACAAGCTGTGCACACCCAGCACACCTGGCCGAGAGGCACGGGGCGGAGGGAATCTGAGACTCTGCCCTCGAATCCCGGCCCCCGAGGCAGGTTTGCCGTCATGTTCCAATTCTGACAAGAGTGCCCAAAGCTCTGGGGGAGGAGGCGGCAGCCTTGCCGGGGTCATGAGAAGTTTCAGTGGGTGGGATGAGGACTCCAGAGATAGGGCCAGGCCCCTGGCACGGATGCTTTCATGATGCCCACCGATAAAGCACACACTGAGGACAAGCAGCCTAGAAGGCAGGAGCCCTGGGCTGGCAAGGGCAGAAGCAGCCACTCCAAGGCTGGAGGCAGGATGAGGACATGGGACCCACCGGCTGGCAGCCTTTGGCCTTGGGAAGCAGAAGACTTTGAGGACCTGCCGGAGCCCAACCCACTGGCAAGTGAGTTTGGGGTTTTGGGTTGTTTTTGTTTTTATGACAGGAGGATCTAAATATGTTCATGAAAAGAAGGGAAAGAGGGAGGAGGCAGCAAAGAGGGAAGGACGGAGGAAGCAGTGGGAGGAGACCACTGACAAGACCTGGTCCAGGGCGAGTCCGGACTAAAGCCACTGGCAGAAGCAGATGTCCGTCAGCATCTGTCCATTCCCGAGCCCCTCCCAAGCCCCCGGACACCCCACCAAGGGCAAAGACAACTAGCCTACTCTCCGCAGAGCTGCTCCCCCCAGATCCCACCGAGGCAGGAGCAAGAAAAGAGAGGGAGGGAGCAGACAAGACCACCGAGAGAAACCCACTGCAACCTTCCCTTCAGAAGAGAATGCAGGACGAGCTGAAGTGGAAAGCAAAAACCTGGTGGGGTGGCGGGCGGTGGGTGTAAGAAACTTCAAAACAGACAATGTCCTAAAAGCAGCCCATCCACTGTGCTCAAAGGTGAGCAGACAACAGAAGCCACTGGAGGGTTTGCTGAACACGGAGTGCTGATGCTGCCCCAGCGCCTGGGATCCAAGGGGCGTAGGGTGAGGTCCCAGGTCACACTGGGTGGGGACCACACTCTGAGGACCTCTGCAGCGACAGGGAGAGGACAGTGCGGCCCAACGCTCAACATGGAATGAGTCAGACTTAGAGCTTTGCACCCTTTAAAATCCCAGCCCCTCATCCTCCACTGTAATTGACACGTAATTTATGGTGAGAGTCTTGCAGACAAAGCCTACATATGTCTTGTATGTGGCAGCCAGGAACTCCTGGTTGGGGGGTGAATGCCCTACTCACTCACTGAGGAAATTGTCAAGATAGGGTGACATAAAGTTACAAGGATCTAGTTCTTTCATAAAAATCCTCCTGCATGTTTTCACTCATAGGCGGGTGTTGAACAATGAGAACACATGGACACAGGGCGGGGAGCACTACACACTGGGTTCTGTTGGGGGAAATAGGGGAGGGACAGTGGGGGGTGGGGAGTTGGGGAGAGATAGCATGGGGAGAAATGCCAGATATAGGTGAAGGGGAGGAAGGCAGCACATCACACTGCCGCGTGTGTACCTATGCAACTATCTTGCATGTTCTTCACATGTACCCCAAAACCTAAAATGCAATAAAAAAAAAAAAAGAAAAAAAATCCTCCCATAAATCATGTAAATAGGCACACAGAGTAGACTAATGGTTGCTTAGGTCTACAGCAGGTGGGGACTAGAGGGTAAAAGCTGAAAGGTACACAGTTCTTTTTGAATTGATGAAAACGTTCTGAAATTAACCGTGGGGATAATTGCACAAATCTGTGAAGATACTAAAAACTACTGATTTGTAGACATTAAACAGTTGAATCGTCCAGGATGTGAATTCTATATCAATACAGCTGCTATTTAAAAGGTTCCTTTTCCTTCACTTTCCCTTGCAAATGACTTCTTTTTCTGCTTTTTGGGGATTTCCCACTACTTTGACGTTCTTCTTTAGGTTTCTTTAAAAAAGAATCTCTGTTCCTAGTAATCCCATGACTACTGTATTTTAATCATTTAATTCTACTCATTTAATTTTGTAAAATCACAAGATAGAATTCCATCAATTTTTAGCGCTGGAAATTATTTATAGGTGCATCAATTAATTTTCCAGGTAAAGACCCTGGGATTTTTTGAGTGAAAGTGACTTTTTCAAAGTTATGCCCAAGTAGTTCCATTCAGAAATTTTAAAAAACTCCATACCTCTTCTGTAAGTGGAAAAATACAGAATCTCAAAATTATCCCTTCAGCACCCGATACTGTGTTTTAATAAAGTTCAGGAAAATCTACTCTTTTCCAGAAAAATACATTATTTAACAGGCTTGTTGGGTGCTACTATAGGAAACACAGCCTTGCTGTCTGTGTTAGAATTCACACACCCAAACCAATCCGTAAGAATCATATGAGCATTTAAGTATTTTCTTTTTTTTTTTAATTTTTTAAATTTTTATTTTTTTAAAGACGGGTTTCACCATGTTGGTCAGGCTGGTCTTGAACTCCTGACCTCAGGTGATCTGCCCGCCTTGGCCTCCAAAGTGCTTGGATTACAGGCATAAACCACCGCGCCCAGCCACATTTAAGTATTTTCAAGGTCCCTCTACCAGATTAAAATTATTGAATAAAAAAAAAAACTGAGACTTTTTTTTTGGAAACACTATCACTTCCCTCGCCCAGACTAGAGTACAATGGGTCACTGCAGCCTGGACTTCCCGGGCTCAGGTGACTCTGCAATGTCAGCCTCCTGTGTGGCTGGAATTACAGGTGCATGCCACTATGACCAGCAAATGTTTGTATTTTTTTATAGAGATGGGGTTTTGTTATCTTGCCCAGGCCGGTTTTGAACTCCTGGGCTCAGGCAATCCACCCACCTCAGCACCCTAAAGCGCTGAGGGATTGCAGGCATGAGCCACTGCGCCCAGCCAAGAGTATCTTAATTATTCTTAGACCCAATACAATTATTAGTAGAATCACTGTAAGTCACTAACTCTAACAAATGAGATAGGTTTGGGGTTTTGAAAAATTAACTTGGCCGGGCTCAGTGGCTCACGCCTGTAATCCCAGCACTTTGGGAGGCCGAGGCGGGTGGATCACGTGAGGTCAGGAGTTCAAGACCAGCCTGACATCAATGGGTAAAACCCCCATCTCTTAAAAAAAAAAGAAAGAAAGAAAAAGAAAAGAAAAGAAAAATTAACTCAATACACTTGTGCCTCACAAATGGACCCAGTGGTTCAGATTTGTTTACACTTGAGAAAATTTAAAAATGATTATTTCTATTAAAAAGAAATTGGCCATAGCTTCCCTAGTGTATTTTAAGTAAGTGAATTTTTTCAAGAAATGTATTTGATCTACTTTTCCCCAACTCCAATCCACCCCACAGGCCCTCTCTGGTCAGTGGCTCTCCTATCTCCCAGAATCCCCCCAAGAAGATCTATCTGTCCTGTGTCCCCGTGCGGGCCCTACCCCTGGCTGGGTGATGGCCTTCTTGTGTGATAAAAGAACCCAGTAGAAGGGGCTAAGCTTAGTCCAGTGCTTCCTTCCAGATAATGCAACTTAGCACCCTGCTTTCCTCCAAAGTCAGGGGCCAGATAGTGCTAAAAGAGAAATTCTGCGGTTGGTGGGTCCTTGAGCTTCTCTTAGGCAACACTCTGCATGCAGCCTCAACCTAAGGGGGCCTTGTTCATAGGTCGGGTGACTAACCATCCCAGTTTGCTGGGGACAGAGGGGTTTCCCAGGATGCAGGATTTTCAGTGCTGAAATCAAAAAACTGGAAAGTCCCAGGCAAACCAGAATGAGCTGATCGCCTGTAGGGCCTGTACTTCCAGCTGAAAGTGTCCTTCCCCGCATCACGGTGTGAGAATGACCTCAGAGATGGCCTGGTGCAGTTCGCTCTTCAACAAAGGACATACAGGTGACAAGGCACTGCCCCTTCCCCCCGCTCCTCAGGGGCCATCACAGCCCGTGCCAGCTTCCTCAAACACAACTCTTATGTACCTAGGGCCTTTGTGCTTCCAAGGAAGCACGTCCCCCAAAGACCTGGACCCTCCAAAGCGTGGAGGTCAGCTGGGAGATGACTAAAGGACCCCGAAGTTCAGTAAGCCGGGCTCAAGGTCTCCAGTGAGGTCAACTGAACCTTGCTCTACTGTACATGGAATTCATTATCTAGAAACCTGCCCCTTATCTAACACCAGAGACAAAAGCTGAATTCCCAGTGCCAGCAAAACTGACTGCAGAGCTATGTCACTGCTGCTATTTTTAGGAGATGACTATTGTCCCTCGAGTTTTAAAATACAAAAGCTGCAAAGTCTAGAAGGAAATGATACAGACTGACCCTCCCGCTACAAGGGGAGCAGGCGAGGACCTTTGGATGGCTGCCTTGTCAGAGTTAAAGGGAAGCAGCTCTGGGGAGAACCTGGGAATCCACCACGGCTGCCTACGCACAGCCCAACACTGGACACAATCAGTCGCTCCAAGACCCAGGATAGGCCCCGACTCCAGGGGTCTCTGCAGTAACTGGTATTCAAGGGAAACGCTGAAGAAAAGAGAAAAGGCGGCCGGCCAGGTGGCTCATGCCTGTAATCCCAGCACTTTGGGAGGCCGAGCAAATCGCCAGAGGTCAGGAGTTCGAGACCAGCGTGGCCAACATGGTGAAACCATTCTCTACTAAAAATACAAAAATTAGCCAGGCGTGGTGGTGGGCGCCTATAATCCCAGCACTTTGGGAGGCCGAGGTAGGTGGTTCACTTCAAGTCAGGAGTTCGAGACAAGCCCGGCCAACATGGTGAAACCCTTTCTCTACTAAAAATACAAAAATTAGTGTGGTGGCAAGTGCCTATATTCCCAGCTACTGGGAAGGCTGAGGCAGGAGAATCACCTGAGCCCAGGAGGCAGAGGTCGCCAAGACTGCACCACTGTACCCCAGTGAGCTGAGACTGCAGTGAGCCAAGACTGCACCACTGTACCCCAGTGAGCTGAGACTGCAGTGAGCCAAGACTGCACCATTGTACTCCAGCCTGGGCGACAGAGCACGATTCCATTTCAAAAAAAAGGAAAGGGAAAGGTTTGTGACCATCCCTGGCACAACGAGCTTCCTCCTGTCCTTGAAACATTCTCCTTATGCCGCTTCTGATTCTCCTCCCACCTGCAATAGGTTTCTGTTCCACTTCCACCCTCGCGTCATCAGAGGTGCCCACAAGACGCACCAGAAGCCCCAGCACCCTCCTCTGCCCCCTTCTGGGCTTCTCCCTACCACACCAGCTGTCACTTTTAACAGTTAAAAAAGAGGCCTCACCATGTGGACGTGCTGTTTTCTTAGCTACTCCTCTTTGGTCAAACATTCACTTTGCTTCCACTTTCCCCTTGACTAAAATGGAACTAGCAGTACTGGAAAACCATCTGGAGATTCATTCGCCCGTAGAAACAACAGCTCTGTTTACCAAGTGTCTATTATGGCACACACACTTTCTATGTAACTTAGCGTTAATTCTGCCTAGAACCTCTATGAGGTGTTATCGTCTTCATAATAAGCCTCCCGTTTTCTAGACGGGGATCTAAAGGAAACTGAAGATCGAAAGATCATGGGACTTGTCCAGGATCAGGTAAGCAACCTAAGCCTGCATCTTTGACCACCAAACTGAATTTCTACTCTAAGAAAAGTTCCAGAGCTCCTGAAACCTAAATGCACATGCAAATCATCTCAGGACCTTAAAATGCAGATTCTCAGGGGCCTGAGATCCTGCATTTGGGAGAAGCTCCCAGGCGATGCCAATGCTGCTGGCCCATGAACCACAGTTAAGGTAGCCAGGTTCTGGGCCGGGCGCAGTGGCTCACGCCTGTAATCCCAGCACTTTGGGAGGTTGAGGCACGTGGATCATGAGGTTAGGAAATCAAGACCATCCTGGCCAACATGGTAAAACCCCGTCTCTACCAAAAATATGAGAAAAAAAAAATTAGCTGGGTGTTGTGGCACGTACCTGCAGTCCCAGCTACTCAGGAGGCTGAGGCAGGGGAATCACTTGATCACTGGAGGCGGAGATGCAGTTAACTGAGATGGCGCCACTGCACTCCAGCCTGGTGACAGAGCAAGACTCCATCTCAAAATAAAAGTAGCCAGGTTCTGATGCCCAATATTTCTGGTTAGTCCTCTTTCTACCTATAAATAACTAGGTCTGAGCCTGCTTTCATGTCCAAAATTCGATCGATTCAAGCAAGTAAGGTTATAGAAAAAAGGTCATCGGTGCAGACTTTCACATTCATTCAACTTTTTTTTTTTTTTTTTGAGACAGAGTCTTGTTCTGTTGCCCAGGCTGGAATACAGTGGTACCATCTGAGCTCACTGCTACCTTCTGCTACCTGGTTCAAGAGATTCTCCTGCCTCAGCCTCCCAAGTAGCTGGGACAACAGGCACACGCCACCATGCCCAGCTAATTTTTTGTATTTTTAGTAGAGACAGGGTTTCACCACATTAGCCAGGATGGTTTCGATCTCCTGACCTCATGATCCACTTGCCTCGGCCTCCCAAAGTGCTGGGACTACAGGCGTGAGCCACCATGCCTGGCCTCGTTCAACTTTTTATTTTGAAATAGCTACAGACCCACAAAAACTCATACCCTTCGCCTGTCCTCCCCAAAGGTGGCATCTTGCACAATTACCATACAAAAACAATTCTATAAACTTGACATTGCTGTAATCCACGGAGCTTATTCAGATTGCACCTGTGTGTGTGTGTGTGTGTGTGTATGCGCACACGCGTACGTCTATGCAATTTTAACCCCCAGGTAGCTTCCTGTAACCACCACCATCAAGGTGCAGAATGGTTCCAGCACTGAAAGGCGCCCTCCAGCTACCCTTTAGAGTAACCCTTTCCTCTCCCCACCCCGGCCCCACCCACCTCTAATCAACTCCAAAACTGCATTATTGCAAGCCTGTGACGTCAATGGAACCATACAGCATATCACCTTCCGAGACTGGCTTTTTTACTCAGTGTCATTCCCTTTATTTTTAAATCCGCAAGGGTTAGTCAGTGTCCCTGTGAAGGGAAGCAGAGTGGCCTGGAAGTGCTTGGATGAGCAGCGGAAGGGCTCTGGACGTGGTGTTGTCTACTCTGGGAACCTACAGGAAGGGGACTCTGCCCACCGCATTTACCCTTAGCTCTCGCTCTAAAGGACAGAAAACTGGTTCCGTTTGCCAGGCCCTGTTTACTTATTCATAAAGGTAAGGCCCAACGATGGCATAGAATTAGGACTATGGGGAAGGAATGATAAATCCAGCGAGACTCTTAAGTGGGAATTGGTTGTTTTGCTTTTGCTTTGGAAACAGGGTTCCATTGTGTCATCCAGGCTGAGTGCAGTGGCACCACCCTAGCTCATTGCAGCCTTGAATCCCTGGGCTCAAGTGATCCTCCCACCTCAGCCTTCCCAGTAGCTGAGACTACAGGCATGTGCCACCACACCCGACTAAGTTTTAATTTTTTTTTTCTTTGTAGAGACAGTCTTGCTATGTTGCCCAGACTAGTCTTGAGCTGCTGGCCTTAAGCAAGCCTCTGGATTCAGCTTCCCAAAGTGCTGGGATTACAGGCATGAGCCACTGTACCTGGCCAGTTTTAAGATCTTATAGGATGACATTCTTAAAGGGATCTCTTTTTAATCTATGCTATAATTGTGCTATAACCTGCTAGCCTGTATTTTCAAATTTGTGCTATTTCTCTTTTTTTATGACTACTGTAGTCAAAAATACCTATTTTATTATTTTCAAAGAATCAGTTTCTGTCCTGGGTCTATAATCTCCATCGCTTCAACCACTTCTGCTTTTCATTTTATTATTTCCTTTCTCGAGTTTTATTTTACCTATAATTTTCCTTCAAGATGCCACTTTTGCTTTTCCCCACACATTTTGATATGTAGTATTTTTATTACTTTTCAGTTCTAATTTACATTATGATTTCCCTTTTATGGAGTTATTTAGAATTGCGTTAAATTTTAAAATATATTTATAACCTGTATTTAGAAAAAAGGGAACCAAGTTCAGAGAACATGCTGTTTATGACACCACTTTTTTTAACTTTCTTGAACTTGACTTTATGGCCTACTGGGCCAATAATTCTAAATCATAACCATGTGACATTATTTCTCCGAATGAAGTCAAGACAATTCCATCTGTAAAAGAATACACAAATCCTTTTAATTAAAAGAAATACGAATGTAGAGAAGTTGTTAAAATATGTGAACAAAGAAAATGTTTCATTCACAAAAGTTGGAAAAGAAATCTTTTAGACAGCCAGTGGGATGGTGTGTGTGTGTGTGTGTGTACACATGTGCACGCATGTTTGTGCATGTGTAAAAAAGCTCATGGGCAAGGAGGGGGTTGATGGCAGCCACACAGACCCGAACAGTATGACGGAGAAGATGCCCCTTTTAGCTGTGATGAGGAATGGAGGTGTATGATGGTGGTACCTGTTTGTAGATCTGATGGTACCAGATTTTAAGATGAAGTAGGTCTCAGGAATCCTTGAGTCATTAAGTATGTGATATGGTTTGCCTCTGTGTCCCCACGCAAATCCCATCTTGAACTGTAATCCCCACGTATCAGAGGAGGGGCCTGGTGGGAGCCAATTGGCTCAGGGAGTTGGGTTTCCCCCTTGCTGTTCTCATGATAGTGAGAAGCATCTCATAAGAGCTGATGGTTTTAATGTGGCACATCCCCTCTCGTGCTCTCTCGCTCTCTCGCTCTCTCGCTCTCTCTCTCTCTCTCTCTCCCCTGCTGCCATGTAAGACTTGTTTCCCTTTCACCTTTTGCCATGATTGTAAACTTCCTGAGGCCTCCCAGCCATGTGGAACTGTGAGCCAATTATACCTCTTTTCTTATAAATTACCCAGTCCCAGGCGGTTCTTTATAACAGTGTGAAAACAGACTAATACAGTATGTGTGTCTATAAAAGAAATGGAAGAGATTATTTTTCCATGATGTGTCTGAATTTAAAGAACAGCTGGCCAGGTGTGGTGGCTCATGCCTGTAATCCTAGCGCTTTCGGAGGCCAAGCAAGAGGGTCACTTGAGATCTGGAGTTCAAGACCAGCCTGGCCAACCTGGTGAAACCCCGTCTCTACTAAAAATACAAAAATTAGCCAGGCATGGTGGCAGGCATCTGTAATCTCAGTACTTGGGAGGCTGAGGCAAGAGAATTGCTTGAACCCAGGAGGCGGATGTTGCAGTGAGCCGAGATTGTAACACCGCACTCCAGCCTGGGCAACAGATTGACACTCCATCCCAAAAAAGTAATAAAATATAAAGGACAGTTGAAGGTGGATTTTACTTATTTCTACTCGTCAAAGATATAGAAATTGAGGTGGAAGTGAAATCCCACGTCAGAGTTGGCTGAGTGGCAACTGACTGGATTGGAGTGTGGTATTTGAGAGCAATTTCAAAGAAACAGAGAAACTACAACATATGCTTTCAGAGGCATGTTTGTGTCGGGTCTGAAGACACTCAGATCAGAAGTAGGCATCTGATGGGATGGGATTGAAGAATGAAGCCTTTCTCTCTGGCCTCTGTTTCTGGGATGCTTATCTGGTTCTTGAATTAGGACCCACACCTCTGGCAAGGGACATTCCAGCTGGGACAGGCATAGGCAGGGAAGCCCAGGAAGAGGCAGGCGTAACCACGTCGGCCTGTGCTCAACAGAGGTGCCAGTGAAGGGTGTTAAACGCATTCATAGTGGCACACTTTTTACGAGACAAGGAAAGACAAAAGTCTCATTCCAGTGTCCACGTGGGGAACAGGCCCAGACGGGGCTGCCTGATGCAAACGCTGTGGCCTGGGCAGTGGGTGAAGCCATGTGTTGTGGTAAGTTTCAGCCTCAGACTGCACTGGAACTACCTCCTGGCTCCGCCAAGGGAGCACCTATGGCACCTCCCTGAACCTGTGACTTCATCCACTAACCCCAGACACCCAGACGCACATCACAGGGCTCCAAGTTTCGAATGAGATGCTCCGAGCTAAGGCTTCTCAAAGCCTCCATCGCCTCCAAAGCCCCTGGCAGTTTTGCTGAAAAGGAGGCCCTGACTCGGCAGGTGTGGTGGGGGGAGGGCTGGCATTCTGCATTCCTAACAAGTTCCCCAGCGGGAACCCCCTGCTCCAGGTCTGAGGACCCCACTCTGAGTTCAAGAGTCTGCACCAGTGGTTGTCAATATTGGCTGCACATTGGAATGACTCTGGGAGCTTTAGACCATACTGATGCTTTATCTCACCCTCAGATTCTCACTTAATTCTAAGATATGGCCTGGGTACTTAGATTTTTATAGAGCTTTCCAGATGGTTCTAATGTACAGTCCAAGCTGGGAACCAGCGTCTTTGGGAGACTACCTGGTGCAAAACACCTCAGAAATCTGGACTCACATTTTTTTCAAACTTTGTCATTGTTGTTTAAATTCATCCAAATTTTGTTTTTTTAATTTGTTTCAGAAAACTATTAACCCCCTGAAGAGATGGATATTTCCTTAATCTAAAAAATCAGAGCTGGAGATCAGGACTAGGAAACAAAAGCACACTTGGGTCCAGGCACAAGCCCCAGTGTGGACATCTGTTGGCTCAAATAAATAAGAGGCTCATGCCTGTAATTCCAGCACTTTGGGAGGCAAAGGCGGGCAGATCACCTGAGGTCAGGAGTTTGAGACCAGCCTGGTCAACTTGGTGAAACCCTGTCTCTACTCAAAATTCAAAATTTAGCTGGGCATCATGGTGCATGCCTGTAGTCCCAGCTACTCAGGAGGCTGACGCAGGAGAATCGTTTGAACCTGGGAGGTGGAAGTTGCAGTGGACTGAGATCACACCACTGCACTCCAGCCTGGGCAATAGAGTGAGATCTGTCTCAAAAAAATAAATAAGGCCAGGAACAGTGGTTCATGCCTGTAATCCCAGCACTTTGGGAGGCCCAGGCAGTCAGATAACAAGGTCAGGAGTTAGAGACCAGCCTGGCCAACATGGTGAAATCCCATCTCCACTAAAAATACAAAAATTAGCCAGGTAGGGTGGCAGACACCTGTAATCCCAGCTACTCAGGAGGCTGAGGCAGAAGAATTTCTTGAACCCAGGAGGCGGAGGTTACAGTGAGCCAAGATCATACCATTGCACTCCAGCCTGGGTGACACACAGCAAGACTCCGTCTCAAAAAATTAAATTAAATTAAATTTAAAAATAAAAATAAAATAAATAAACAAATAAAATTTTTAAATAAATACTCAAGAAACCAAAACACAGCAGAGCCCCCTTCTCCATTTCAGACTAAATATCGGGGCGAAGTCACAGCCTATGGGGGAAACCAGCACTGTAGTTCAGCTTGAAGTGGATTATTCTACCTGCTCTGTTTGTTTTCATGTTGGCAGCTGACCAATAATAATAATTATTATAATATTAGAAACACAAACACACTTATATCAAGGATTTTTTTAAAACTCAATGCCTGTTTTCTCTTCTTTAATGAATCCTGACCAAAAAAAAAAGATGGTTGAGTCACGTTGTTAAAGAATCTCATTAAAATGAATAAAGGAGGCCAGGCATGGTAGCTCACGCCTAAAATCCCAGCACCTTGGGAGGCCGAGGCAGGAAGACTGCTTGAGGCCAGGAGTTTGAGACCAGCCTGGGCAACATAACAAGATCCTATCTCTACAAAAAATAAATAAAAATTGGACTGGTGTGGTGGTATGCACCTGTAGTCCCAGCTACTCAGGAGGCTGAGGTGGGAGGATTATTTGTGCCCAGGAGGTCAAGGCGGCAGGATTGTGCCACTGCACTCCAGCCTGGGCAACAGAGTGAGA